GGTTCCTGGGCCATTATCTTCGCGTCCTGACCAAGGCCAACTTTCTCCACGGCAGCTTTCCAACCGCACTGGAAAAAGATGTCCTTGGTCGCCTGAACCTGTCGTTTGTAAGTTTTTTCACCCTGCACGTACCCCCGATCTTCGGCATCGTCGACCGCCTTGTCCTTCTCTTCTTTGTGAGCATCGCAAAGCTTGCGTAGCTCGACGAGGTAGCGAGCCTTCACCAGCTTGACAGCCCGCCGCTTGTCTTCGTCAGCCCGCGCCAATTGTTTGCTCAATTTGTCGCGCTCGGCCTCTGCCGCCTCCTGCGCGACCTTCAACTTTGCTAGCTCGGCCGTCTTCGCCTTATTGTCTGAGATCGCATCTCGCAGACTTTGCCGCACGGCAATCATTCGCTCGTGGGCCAAGTGGTTCTTCTGCGCGGCCTACAAACATTTGGAGGTGGTCAGAAATCGAAAGCCGAGCAAAAACTTGAAGCACAAAGGGGTCTCTCAACTTATCAGCACTATTGATTTCGCTGCTGAGCGAAGAACCTTTAGGTCGGATAGCTCGTCATGCTTCTTCATGTCGGCGGGCAGGAGCAACCCCTTGGTCATGTTAAAACCGAGCGAGGAGTCCTTGTCCACGTAAACAGAATCTGCAGCAGAGACAGCACGGCCTTTGTACTTGAATTCGGGCAACCAGACCGGGGGGGGCACTTGGGCTTTTGGATGGCCCGCTGATTGGTTGCTCGGTCTAGTCCCCCAGGTCGGTCGAAGCTTGCTCGGTGGAGTCCTCGTCCACCAGGTGTTATCCGGCCAAATCTTTCCTCTGCCTCTTCTTTAACCGGCCAATTGCTTGTTCGCTGGCAAGAGCCAGCACAACACCCTCTTTTCGTGCAACCGGAGTGGAGGAAGTCCTTCCAGATGCCTCTGGTGGCTGGGAGTCACTCAGTTCACCAGTGATCATTGATTTGATTGCCCGGGTTTTTGCCATTTCTTGCTCGGCGATGAGAGGGACAAGTACCGTACCAACAGTTAGTGTATTGTCCAACGAAAACAATTGACATATTGTCCAATTTGCATATGGGCCAAACTGGTTTTTGCTCGCCCAATTGAGATGTTGGCGTTATGACCAACTTAAATGGAATATTGGTGTTTTGCCCAATCTTTAGGCCGAGCTGATTTTGCTCTGCCAAAACGAAATGTTGGCGACGTGTCCAACTTCCTTTACAGCCGAGCTGGTTTTTGCTCGCCCAATTGAGATGTTGGCGTCATGACCAACTTAAATGGAATATTGGTGTTTTGCCCAATCTTAATCAGCTCGGCCAAAACGAAATGTTGGCGACGTGTCCAACTTCCTTTACGACCGAGCTGATTTTTGCTCGCCCAATTGAGAGGTTGGCGTCATGACCATCTTAAATGAAATATTGGTGTTTTGTCCAATCTTTACACCAAGCTGATTTTGCTCTGCTAAAATGAAATGATGGCAATTTGTCCAACTTCTTTTACGGCCGAGCTGATTTTTGCCCACCTGAAAAGAAGACTTGGCGTGTTATCAAACAAAGAAGGGCCGAGGTGATTTTTGATCGGCCTAAATGACATGATGGGTGTTTGTAAAACCTCTAAAGGCTGAGATGATTTAGCTTGGTGACTTGAAGTGTTAATGCTTTGAACACCGAGCTTCGAAATATTAGTGTTTTATCGCACCTACAAGGTCCGAGCTGATTTTAGCTCGGCCAAATGAAATGCAACGATTATCCAAAAATTGAAGAAATACTAATTTTAGCCTGGCATATGGCGCGGCGTAGCCGACCTATCAGTTATGATTCATTCATGACCATCTTAAATGAAATATTGGTGTTTTGTCCAATCTTTACACCAAGCTGATTTTGCTCTGCTAAAATGAAATGATGGCAATTTGTCCAACTTCTTTTACGGCCGAGCTGATTTTTGCCCACCTGAAAAGAAGACTTGGCGTGTTATCAAACAAAGAAGGGCCGAGGTGATTTTTGATCGGCCTAAATGACATGATGGGTGTTTGTAAAACCTCTAAAGGCTGAGATGATTTAGCTCGGTGACTTGAAGTGTTAATGCTTTGAACACCGAGCTTCGAAATATTAGTGTTTTATCGCACCTACAAGGTCCGAGCTGATTTTAGCTCGGCCAAATGAAATGCAACGATTATCCAAAAATTGAAGAAATACTGATTTTAGCCTAGCATATGGCGCGGCGTAGCCGACCTACCAGTTATGATTCATGACCATTTGAATGAAGAAATTTTGCACGCTGCAGCCGAGCAGAAATTGATCATCAACGAACAAAAAGTTCAAATTTTCATTGATAAGGGAAATTGCATTACAAGGTGGGGCGAAGCCCGGTTACATTCAAAAAAAAAAAAAAACAAAGCAGACAAGAAGAGGGGGAAAACATCAATCTAGTTCGATGTCAACGATTTGCTCGGCGGTATCAACTGTCTGCTCAGTCAAGCCCTCCTCGGCCTTATCGTCAGCGCCTTCCACCGCAATAACCTCCCGCTCGGCCACTTCATCTTCGGCCCGGTCAGAAGCCTCAGGAGAAGTTTGATCGACAGGTTGTGCGGCAGCACCCTCTTCCTCGGCTGATTTCTTAGCCTCTTCCTCGGCGGCGTTCTTCGCCTCTTCGATGAGCCTCTTTTGTGTGACACTAGCGTAGGCTTGTATGTAAGGCGGTATGAAGGCAGCGGGCGGATTTTGGAACATCTTCGCGTCCTGACCAAGGCCAACTTTCTCCACGGCAGCTTTCCAACCGCACTGGAAAAAGATGTCCTTGGTCGCCTGAACCTGTCGTTTGTAAGTTTTTTCACCCTGCACGTACCCCCGATCTTCGGCATCGTCGACCGCCTTGTCCTTCTCTTCTTTGTGAGCATCGCAAAGCTTGCGTAGCTCGACGAGGTAGCGAGCCTTCACCAGCTTGACAGCCCGCCGCTTGTCTTCGTCAGCCCGCGCCAATTGTTTGCTCAATTTGTCGCGCTCGGCCTCTGCCGCCTCCTGCGCGACCTTCAACTTTGCTAGCTCGGCCGTCTTCGCCTTATTGTCTGAGATCGCATCTCGCAGACTTTGCCGCACGGCGATCATGCGCTCGTGGGCCAAGTGGTTCTTCTGCGCGGCCTGCAAGCATTTGGAAGTGGTCAGAAATCGAAAGCCGAGCAAAAACTTGAAGCACAAAGGGGTCTCTCAACTTACCAGCACTATTGATTTCGCTGCCGAGCAAAGAACCTTCAGGTCGGATAGCTCGTCATGCTTCTTCATGTCGGCAGGATGGAGCAACCCCTTGGTCATGTTAAAACCGAGCGAGTAGTCCTTGTCTGCGTAAACAGAATTTGCAGCAGAGACAGCACGACCTTTGTACTTGAATTTGGGCGACCAGACCGGGAGGGCACTTGGGCTTTTGGATGGCCCGCTGATTGGTTGCTCGGTCTAGTCCCCCAGGTCGGTCGAAGCTTGCTCGGTGGAGTCCTCGTCCACCAGGTGTTATCCGGCCAAATCTTTCCTCTGCCTCTTCTTTAACCGGCCAACTGCTTGTTCGCTGGCAAGAGCCAGCACAACACCCTCTTTTCGTGCAACCGGAGTGGAGGAAGTCCTTCCAGATGCCTCTGGTGGCTGGGAGTCACTCAGTTCACCAGTGATCATTGATTTGATTGCCCGGGTTTTTGCCATTTCTTGCTCGGCGATGAGAGGGACAAGTTTGATCGGCGAAAGATTTGGATCTGGCTCTAGAAAGGGCACACGAAGGAAGTCAATGACCCGGCTTTTGCGCGGTGCTATGTAGTGATAGGTCGGTTCGAAGCCGAGCAGTTTAGGAGACTCCCATTCCTCGGTTGGATGACGCAGCAAAACTCTGATGGCCTCTTGGTTAGCCCGGGAGTAGTCTTCGGCCAGAAGTTTGTAATCTGCAAAAAGAAGACGAGTGTTAGATCAGCAAGAGAAAAACCAATGCAGAAAGAAGACAATGCGGTTGGCCGAGCTACTCACCAGCACTCCCAAAGTCTTTCCTAATGTACAGCCCGGTATGGGTGCCTCGGTGTCCTCATATCGACCGGATACCCACAGGAAATCATCATCATTTGTTTCCTTATCCGGGTTACCCTCAATGAGTTTTGCTCGGCCCTTCTTTAACTTCATATACCAGCAAAACCCACATTTATTCTTGCTGAGACTGTATTGATGAAATATCTCGACAAGATCGAGATTGAGACCGAGCCTCCTATTTAGCTCGTCCACGTCGTTTAATATCTTGTATATGTTGTTTGGGACTTGGGTCGGACAAAGCCTTGTCTGCCTCAAAAATTCGCAGATCAAGGGTTGGATCGAGAAGCGAAGTCCTCCTTCGACTATGGATATGATCGTGAAGGGGCACCTATCTAGGTCGCCCCATAGGATATCTCCCTTCTTGGCCAGCAGCCCGGTATGGGTGCCTCGGTGTCCTCATATCGACCGGACACCCACAGGAAATCATCATCATTTGTTTCCTTATCCAGGTTACCCTCAATGAGTTTTGCTCGGCCCTTCTTTAACTTCATGTACCAGCAAAACCCACATTTATTCTTGCTGAGACTGTATTGATGAAATATCTCGACAAGATCGAGATTGAGACCGAGCCTCCTATTTAGCTCGTCCACGTCGTTTAATATCTTGTATATGTTGTTTGGGACTTGGGTCGGACAAAGCCTTGTCTGCCTCAAAAATTCGCAGATCAAGGGTTGGATCGAGAAGCGAAGTCCTCCTTCGACTATGGATATGATCGTGAAGGGGCACCTATCTAGGTCGCCCCATAGGATATCTCCCTTCTTGGCCAGCTCTAAATGGACATCATCTGGAATGCTATACTCCCTATGGAACTCAGCCAGTGCACCAGGAGAGCTCACCATGAACCGGTACTTCCCCATCTATCTCGATTTTATTTATTAGGTAATTTAGCCTGTATCTCGGTGGAAAATTTTATGTGTTTGCTCGGACTTTGAGCTCCACCAGAAGTAATGCTGGACGGGCCTGGTCGGTCCTAGTTTGTTCTGCATTATTAAGAAATAAGTCCAAGGGTTAGCGCGGCATAAATTGCACGGCTTCTACGTGGAGTCCCTAGCTCGTTCAAAGGTTCCTGGGCCATTTGACTGGCCAACCCCTATCTCGGCTCGACTATTTGGCCGATTTGGCCTTCCTAGTTCGGTTCTGACTCCCTTTATCCAGCACGGTCGCGGCCTCAACGAGAAGCCACAAACTAATTTTTGCTCGGCCGAAGTTTTATTTATGGATCTAAGTTACCTATTTAGCTTGGTCCTACCCAGATTCAAGTTGTTCATCCTAAATTCAAAGTTTGTACATTTTACTCGAAGAAACAAGGGGCAAGGGAGCCCCATCTGCTTTTCCGATTCCAGTTCCAGTTCTTCCTAGGGTGTGCAACTATTGCCATAAACAAAGTGCATGAAGAACACGAAGAACACAGGCTTGAAAATGTGAAGAACACGAAAAACAAGGGTGAAGGAGCCTACCGACGACGGATGCCAAGAGGGGATCAGTCGATCACGAGCTCGATTCCAGCTTCTAAAGGAGCAAAAACGGATGTAGAGGAGGCAAAGGGGCAATAACAGCAGCAATGGCAGAAGTTGGGAGGTCTTGAGAGCTAGAGTTTTGGGGCTCGTGGTTGGAGATGAACGGTGGGGGGTGTTTGACCCCTCGTTTGTGTATAAAAGTAGTGGGAAAGGCAATGGGCAGCAGTCGTTTGAATTTCGCGCGAGCTGTAGGGCTGCATGTCACCAATGGCGTGAGGCCACATGGCACTGCGAGGGCGACTTTGTCAGTACGGCTGTACGACCCTTGACAAGATTACTGAAGCAATGACCGACCAAATGGGATAGCTCAGTAACGGCTTTGAAGCCAATCACGCTTGGCTTGGTACTGGCTCAACTCAGGGACCGTTAGCTCGGTCATGGTGGTAACCCTAATCACGATTAGCTCGGATGGGATTAAGGGGCAATTGAGAGGGAGATTTGCTCCAGACTAGTACGACCGACCTATGATAACGCCGGTTGGGGCGAATTTCACGAGAGCAGACCTGTTTTCTCAATTGGTGCGGTTCTCCGACTTGATCTGCACGACCGGGCTAGTTTGACCAACCAGGCGTGGTCCAGGGCCTCGTCAGGCCGTGCCATGGCTGAACATTCGGCTGGGCACGCAGTGGTATGACGCAACTGAGCTAAGGACAGCCCGAACTAGACTAAGGACGGGGCCAGGGCCGGCATGCCTCCGACCGGTTAGCCGAGATGGCCCGACTTCATATAACCTAGAATAAAGGTAGAGCGGAGGAAGGCCAGCATGTCTCGCAACCGGTCAGCCATGATGGACCGGTCCCACGCAGCTCGGCCATGAGCATCATACTTTTGCTTTTTTCCAAGGGATTGGTCGGCGAGACACAGCTCGGTTGTGTTGCTTATGTTGGCGATTCTCCACGAGGGGTAGGTCGGTCGTGGTACTCCGATGAAGTGTGCCACCTGGGCCAATAGCGTAAGGGAGAGGAAATCTGCTCCAGGCACGCGTCAATACTGTTTGGCAATTCTACATGTATTGGTTGGAGAATTTGGCCTTTACACGCGTAAGGTGGTGAGAGGCAAGCACTGCCACCTGTCCAAGGAAGGACAGCGGTGGTAGTGCGCGCACAATCCAGAAGCTGCATGGCCAGCCTAGAAAAAGGAATGAAAGATGAACGTTAGAGGTATGCAACTTTGAGCGACTCTCTTTCTCTAACAGTATTCTTCTTCCTCAAGTGATCTGACTTAATCGTCGGAGGGTCTATCCGACGACCCACCGCCGGGCAGCTCACCGTTTCTTTGTTACCAGGTTAGACGCCGTCACGTGAAGCTTGAGTCCAAGGAGTACGGAAAGCAAAGGATATTTGGCCCCCGTACAACTTATATGTTATGCATCTCATGGTTGACATCTTAATATTACATTCCTCAAATTATTAAAGGGTTTAATGCCAGTAGGTGCTCTCTTCTATGTCCCCTATGTATGACAGTCAAATTTTCTTGGATTATCCATGTGTACTAGGGATGGTTTATTCATTTGTTTTTGGTTCCATGTGTATGTCACCACTATGCGTTGGTGGTACATTAATTTAAATGCTAAACTACTAACAAATTAAAAGATGCCTTGTGGAATAGTTTTGTATTCGTGAGGATTGGAAACTGAATTCTCTCTGCAAATATCTGTGGTTTCACCGACGTGACCCTGTTTCATTTTTAATTTTCTTCAATTACTTGCATAAATCCGTATGCACATGAATTCTATATATGAACTTTGTATATCTATTCTATCGCTTATGTTATATAAGGAGCACAAATTTGGCCTTTACACGCGTAAGGTGGTGAGAGGCAAGCACTGCCACCTGTCCAAGGAAGGACAGCGGTGGTAGTGCGCGCACAATCCAGAGGCTGCATGGCCAGCCTAGAAAAAAGAATGAAAGATGAACGTTAGAGGTATGCAACTTTGAGTGACTCTCTCTTTCTAACAGTATTCTTCTTCCTCAAGTGATCTGGCTTGATCGTCGGAGGGTCTATCCGGCGACCCACCGCCGGGCAGCTCACCGTTTCTTTGTTGCCAGGTTAGACGCCGTCACGTGAAGCTTGAGTCCAAGGAGTACGGAAAGCAAAGGATATTTGGCCCCCGTACAACTTATATGTTATGCATCTCATGGTTGACATCTTAATATTAGATTCCTCCAATTATTAAAGGGTTTAATGCCAGTAGGTGCACTCTTCTATGTCCCCTATGTATGACAGTCAAATTTTCTTGGATTATCCATGTGTACTAGGGATGGTTTATTCATTTGTTTTTGGTTCCATGTGTATGTCACCACTACGCTTTGGTGGTACATTAATTTAAATGCTAAACTACTAACAAATTAAAAGATGCCTTGTGGAATAGTTTTGTATTCATGAGGATTGGAAACTGAATTCTCCCTGCAAATATCTATGGTTTCACCGATGTGACCCTGTTTCATTTTTAATTTTCTTCAATTACTTGCATAAATCCGTATACACATGAATTCTACATATGAACTTTGTGTATCTATTCTATCGCTTATATTATATAAGGAGCACAATTCACTTGATGTGAACCTCTATGTCACATTTTCTTATGCCAAAATTGCCTCTATGTTACTGCTCAAGTTTTTTTTTTATTTCAAATTATGATTTTTCTAACTTTTTCCTCCTCCATCTACATTCAATTTTTCTTTTCTTTTTTTCCTCTAGATGACGATAAGAACATTTGATTATTTCAATTTCTAGTTGTAATAGATGCTTTCCTATTGAACTTCTTTCCTTTTTTTGAAATAAATATAATTAAATGTTCCAGGTTTGAATTGTGTATGCTTTCCCATTGAACTTTCTTTTCTTTCTCTATTTTTTTGCAATAAATGTAATTAAATGTTCTATGTGTGAAATGTGTTGGGAGTTTGACAGCCAATGATCCTCTTTACCCAAATCTGTCACTCTGTCTTGATACATTCTTAGCCATAGGATCCTATCTTGAAATTCCGCCACATTGTGCGGCTGGGAGTGTATAAAAACAAAAGAAAAAGGAAATTTATATGAAAGCTTGCCCACATGCTCTCACCAATAAACACTGCTTAGTTTTGCCGTATTAAAAAATTCATTTTGTGAGAGGATTTCTCTTTTTCTTTAGTTTTTAAAATCAAAGTGGCGGCTTTTAATTAGATTTACTTAGCATTTTAATTTCAAATTTCACCAGGACTTGGATGTGCATACACCCAACACCAATTTCTTTTGGCTCCTATTATGTTATTGTGACTTGTAAAACACACAATTTCAACCAAAACTTATGAATTACTAAATTTATATGGTAAACTCGCAGGTTTGTATCGGTAAGAGCGCCCTTTGTGGATATCACGATTGGCCATGATAAAAAAGCCTCCGAATTCGGAGCACCATCCGTGCAAGTCACGCAGGGGCCGAATAGGCCTGTGGATTCGGAGCGTCCTTCGTGGATTTCACGATTTCACAAGATCAAAACGCCTACGAATTCGGAGCCCCATCCGTGTAGGCCACGCATGAGCCGAATAAGCCTCCGGATTCGGAGCCCCCTTCTTGGATATTACAATCAGCCACGATGAAAAAGCCTACGAATTCGGAGCCCCATCCGTGCAGGTCACACATGGCCCGAATAA